GGCCCCCTCGAGCATGAGGCCACCTAGAGGCGTTAGGCCCCCTCGAGCCTGAGGCCACCTAGAGGCATGAGGCCCCCTCGAGCATGAAGCCACCTAGAGGCGTGAGGCCCCCTCGAGCATGAGGCCACCTAGAGGCGTTAGGCCCCCTCGAGCATGAGGCCACCTAGAGGCGTGAGGCCTTGGGGAAGTGCGAAGTGTGCCCATGCCTGAAGACGGCACTGCTTTTCTCCACTAATTTCCCTACTGAGTACAGAGCAGTGACGTAGCTAGGGTTATTACCGACTGGAACTAAAATCATAGCCTGAAATGATTGCAAAAACAAATTCTTACTTTATTATTTTTCGACTCATATCTGGGACTACTGGCAGGAGTAAAATGTGTTAACCGAGAGTTATTCCCCTTTAAGAAGTATCCAACTTGTGATTCGCATTTATAATATTAATTTTGGAATGTGCCGCCAATATTGTGCATTAAAATTGGGAAACGTGCTGTCCACTGATTTTTAAATCAAATTAAATTGCCAAAATCGTTCAATATTCATTAACAATATGTAAAAATACGAGTCTGTTAGAAGCCCGAGGCCCTCTAGAAGCGTGAGGCCCTCTAGAAGCGTGAAGCCCTCTAGAAGCGTGAAGCCCTCTAGAAGCGTGAGGCCCTCTAGAAGCGTGAGGCCCTCTAGAAGCGTGAAGCCCTCTAGAAGCGTGAGGCCCTCTAGAAGCGTGAGGCCCTCTAGAAGCGTGAGGCCCTCTAGAAGCTTGAGGCCCTCTAGAAGCACGAGGCCCTCTAGAAGCGTGAGGCCCTCTAGAAGCGTGAAGCCCTCTAGAAGCGTGAGGCCCTCTAGAAGCGTGAGGCCCTCTAGAAGCGTGAGGCCCTCTAGAAGCTTGAGGCCCTCTAGAAGCATGAGGCCCTCTAGAAGCGTGAGGCCCTCTAGAAGCGTGAGGCCTTCTAGAAGCGTGAGGCCCTCTAGAAGCCTGAGGCCCTCTAGAAGCCTGAGGCCCTCTAGAAACCTGAGGCCCTCTAGAAGCCTGAGGCCCTCTAGAAGCGTGAGGCCCTCTAGAAGCCTGAAGCCCTCTAGAAGC